CATTGGGAGGATTTAGTGGGTGCAATAATTATCATCAAATTAGGCGCAACATTCGACTTCTTTGAACGACTTAACCCATCACTCACTACGACACTTGTAAATGAACAAAACAAATCCTACAAAGATGGCATTATTCAGATGAATACAAATATCCAGATATTAAACAAGGCAAACAGAGATACAAAAGTCACAGAAATATTGTTTCAATTTGTTATCAAGTATCACAGCCTTCGGTCGTTTTGCAATTCTCTTCAAGTCCATTTTCAGTTCTGAAACGAAAGCACACCTACATTTTACCTAGGCAATCCAAGCCTACTGTAGTCAAGTTAGAAAATAATATTCGTTCATTGTGGTTTAATCGGCAGGTCGGTTGTCTGTCTACATGTGAAGGAATTTCAGGATGGCCAGAGCCATTGCCAAATCGGATCTAATCTGGCAATATATCTTGTCCGTGATTATAATCTCGTCGTGAATGTAAATTTGTGTATCTTGATCCCATTGGTGTATTGTTAGGGATTTCATACAGGTAGTTGTAGAGGGTGTGGATGAGTAATTACTACTGTAAAAAGGATTTAAAACTATCGTAAGCACACACATCCCTAACCGTCGTGTTATGGAGTGCGAGTTTGACGCCTCTCAAAAGAACACAGTCGTGGCTCTTTTTCTGCAGACTATTTAGACGAGCAAGTGGATTCCCGAATTGCCACCTGCCGGCGTCCGAGGTGGGATGTCCAAGTGGATCGAGGTATCAGTGACATGCCAAAAATACTAAAAAAATCTTACCGCTTTTGTTCCATCCCTAGCAAACTGTAAGAGAAAAGAACATGGGTTAAGTCAAAATAACTTGCCAACCCTTTACCAAACGAAACGTCGCTGAAATATTTAACTACCGTTACAAACTTTGCATATGAGCACTTAAAAGCATGAATACCTCTGTCAAGACTCGGCGTTTTGTACCCATCTAAAATGCAGAAAAACACCGGTGATGTGGTTCACAAATCAAAAAATCAGATATAAGTAGTATGCTGACTTGGTGCAGCCTTCCATTCTAGCCACTTACGATCAGGAATACTGAGCGGAATAGCTGGGTTTTGAGACACTACCAAAGTACCTGCATCTTGCATTAAATGCGCCAACTGCACTGGTGAATTTTGTGTACGCCACAGAAGTAATAGACTGAAGGAATTTTGCGTCAAATTCCAGCTCACGCTGAACTTGTTCAGGGGCCAGTTGCCGAAGTATGTAAAACTCGTAGCAGTCAGTGTTGATTAGGTCACCGCATTACCCGCCCACTCACACACCCCTGTGCACGCAACTTCGAATTCCCCCATCTCGCCGCCGCTGCCGCCGCCGCTCAGTTAGTTGCACTTTTACAAGCTCACCCTAAAAGTGCATGGGTCATACGCTGCCTTGAGGGGATCCACGTGCAAGACAATGGGCGCTCTCTGGTGAATGCGTGAGTGTCTGAGCCGACATTCGAGCCTGCTTCATCATCATCATCATCAAGGGTATTTGTGTGGGGTTATGTGGCCAAATTTGGTGTGGTCTGAGACAGCCTTGAACACAATATGGGACAGTTTTAATGGCCCATTGCCGAAGGGTTTGTCACTTCAAATGAAATTACAAACACAATGCCTAGGCATTACCAAACGAACCGGAGCGTACTTACTTCGAGATCTTGAGACCGCCGTGTCATATTCATCGCCTATAATTTAAAAAAAACATCGAGGTAGAAGGTTAAATTCACCGTAAACAAATCAAAGAGTGTTTCAACTGAGATCAGGTGTTATTTTCAAGGTAGAAATAAGGAAAGCCTTGCAATATCAAATGAATGACGCAACGGGAGGGGAGCCGCTAAGCCTAGAACAGCAGAACTTACGTTCACCACCACTGGTCGCATTCGGGCTGCCTACAATTGTAGGAGGGGCTCACTGTCAACAAGTCAGAGTCCGAAATGCAGTTAACAGACTAAGGTTGCCCAGTAAGCTGACGAACTGTGTGGTAAAATGAGTGCTTTAGCTCATTCGGGATTGGTAAATCGCACATTTTATGCTACACCGGACTATGCAGGAAAGATAATTACACTGTATAACATTTGCGTACCTATGTGGGGGTGAGCAATAACACCAATTTCCACTCCCTGTTATCCACTAGAAAAATGCGAACTATCAACCAATTAAAATTCGACTACTTCAGTCATTGGTTGCCGCAATCACAAATTGACGAGGTGAAAATATCTGAAGCATGTGGTTACTACACACGCGTCTCGTTTTAGACAACTCGATCGTTTACTCATTTTGAAATACCACGAGTCGATTTGAGGAATCTCTGCAGTTCGCTTAATATCAAACATGCTTCCTCGTAGTCTAGCTCACCAATACTTGGCATTACTAAGCTGTTTGCTTGTGGATGTAAACATGGTCATTATGTGTGTGTGCGTGTGTGTGAATGTCTCATTAAGCGGCCCTTAGTGAACAGTGTTGTTTCACGTCCACGAACCCGGTCACCTCAGCTCCACACACGCGATCTCTTTTTCACGGCTTGTCCGGCCTGCTCATTCACCACCCGGGCATGTACTACCATCTCCCGTTTTACCCACGTTACCATCCAAACTTCTACTAGTCTACTTAACTAAACCAGTCAACACAACACAATGTCGTGGAGCTATCTAGCAAACGGTCGTGTCTGTCTCCCTTGGGTACTTCGCGTGGTATAGGGCCTCAACAAGGCTACATACGCCCGTCTTTTCCTCAGCATCGCCACCGTTAATTTTGCATTTTATTTTACAGGTTATTCAACATTAGAAACACAAACATGACAATGCTTAATGCAGCTGCCAAAACGTGATCTGGGGGTTTGAACTAGTGCATTCTCATTACAAGTGAAACTAACCTTGTGGTTTCCTAGCAACAGGTTGGATACCTTCGCGAGCGATGCAGTATTCCGCAAACAAGTACAGGAAATTCAATTGCACCTGAATTAAAAGGTGCCAAGGTTACACAAAATGACCGTAACAGGTTTACGCGTTTATTATCCACATGATCGACCAGAATGGGTTAAAGTGACCTGCAGAGATCTGGTGAGCAAAAACGCATGAGTTCAGGTTCTACTTAACATCTTAAAAGTAGCCATGTAAATCAGGCAAGTGTTAGGTTCGGTGACAGGAGTTAAACCCGTGGGAAACGCTCACTTCCATTAGAGAAAACGGCTCTGGAATCCAACGGACCTAGCACTTGAGGGGATGCATTAGTCGTTGGTACCAGGACTGCTCCAAGGCCCACAGAACTAACAATTCAAGTCTAGATTCAGTGGATTTCCGATGAATTTTTTGCGGTTACTAACATCACACAGCAAAAGATACCGCACGCGACAAAGGTTCCAAACGGCTAAAAACCATATTTTGTAGCAGAAAGCAGAGATAAAATCACAGAGTACCGCTGTTTGAACGAGGCTCTTTCGCCACCGTCGAACGGCCAGTGCAGTACCGAACACGTCGATTGTTGAGGCGTCCTTGCGTAGTCGCTCGAGTATGTAGCGAGCACAAATGAAGGTTCCGGTTCTCCCCACGCCAGCGCTAATAGGATACAAGAGGGAGTGCGCTTGAGGCTGTTTCACCCTGACATCGAGAGTGTGTGCGACATGGACACCTACCCACCAACCTACCTGCAGTGCACAAGTGGGGGACCATAGGAGCCAATCGGCGTTTGTTCCAAAAACGAGAGGTGCTTCAAGATGACTGCGTATATCTGCTCAACTGGAGGTGCTCCATAATCGTTCCAGAGGGTGAAGTGAATCTGCTTAACTGGCCATGGCTGAAATTTACAAATTGCTAATGACGAATTTGTTTATTTTCAGTAAGACAAACTGCGAACAAAGATCTGAATGAAAATGCAATAGCATTATAGACACCGCTTTTGGCAGTCCTTTGGTGGGATGTCCAACACCAGCAAACCATTCACCTGCATTGGGATCCAAACTAAATGATGTAGAATTAGGTGGAATGGACAACCGCATCCACTCTTGGTGGCACTTTATTTGCCCTGACAATCACCGTTCTAACCGCATTAGATGTTGGCCACTAAGGCTGTCGTGAGAGATATTTCGAATTACTTTCAACGCAACTGATAACATGCAATGTTGTAGTTGTCAAAAGCCATATTTATGAGAGAGGCTGCGTCAAATGCGTTTGCCCATCGCTAATGAGTTATTGAAGCAAACTCGCCTCCTTCTCGTCCGATGGCAGAATGGTGAATTCACGGTACGTAAAGTTTGGTGTTATCTGCTCTCCCACTTTGGTCACGATAACACTTCGACCATCGGAGACGAATGTTTCTGTGGCCTGGGCAGGCCAATACCTGGCACATTTCGGGCTGCTGTTCTCCTCGATGCTAGCAAGTGCAAACACAGTCCCAATTAGTGTTACTGATGACAAAAGCGTTTACAAAATCGGTGCTGTGGAGCAAGCCTACTTGCAGAGCATGACGATGTGGGGACACCTCTGTTCGTAGATTATCGTGAGGAAGTCCGCGACGGTGTGAGGCAGTGGACCCTGGGCTGCGATGTACTCCGGTTGGGTGTCCTGACTCGACGCCACGGCAGCGCCTGTCGCCGTGTAGTTGGGTGGTCTCACGTAGGAGGCGTTGATGTAGGAGGACGAGAGGGGACCACTCTGAGTTAGTAAGGAAACATAATCGATTGGGGCGATGAGTGTAGTGTTCACTTCTGGCACTTGTAGGCTAATATTTCCACATACATACCACGACTGTCGGTCTGGGATTCTTCAGCAGCACTGACCATTTCCTGCCCAAAATCACCATCGATTGGTCATCTAAAACACAATTTCATTGAAACCCAAACTTGAATGTGAAGCAAGTAGGCCACAAATTTGCTTAATCTGCGTAGTATTAGCCTTTCCGTTCAATGCAGATTTTAATCTTCAAGTGAAAGCATGTTGCCAACTGATGATGTTTCATTGAATGTTCAAAAACCCTCTTAACACAGCAGAAGGTGAAGAGAGATAAATGATTTGATTTGGCGCATACGACGTACCACACTAAAGTCAAGTGCGTTGTGCCCTCTTGCCAGGCTACACCATCTACGAGTGCTTCGATTTATCAGACGTGTTGTGTTTCATTCGTAAATCATAACAAACATGCACAAAGTCTACCCTAAACATAAGGAAAATAAGTGTTTTAACTGTGTGGTTCAGTGCGCCTCATTTTATATCCTCAAACGCGAGAGTAGATTTAGGTCAAAGTCATTCAGGAATAGAAAGATTTATGTGTGCGTGTTTATCGAGGCATTCCGGAGATGGACAAAGTGGATAGTAACAGCTAGCTTTGGTAACTAGAGGCAGGTTTCCAAGACTCTGAATGCGAATCTGACGCTCTATAGACTGACTTATAATAACTTAGTCAATATCCAATAACAGATTTCAACCAAAGTGGACGCTTTGAACACCAAAAAGAGATGTGGCATCTGACATAAAGGTCCTTAGAGAAATGAGCGTGAATGTAAGGACTAGTGTTCCTTGACGTGGAACTTCATGCATATTCCACTCACGGGGTGGCAACACTTGAGAAGTGACTTGTGATCAATGAGGCGTTTGAAGAGGCCACATCCTAGACACCCGCACGTTGTGTAATGCGTAGAGGCCCTACCAGTGACCTTCAATTTCTCAAGAACAAATCGATGTTGCTGTATCTCCCGTTCCAGTGAATCGAGAATTTATTTGCTACCCAAGTTGGAACTACACATTCAAGGACACTTTTAGCCAAAAAGAAAATAAACACAGCATAAACCTACATGGCAGCATATCGACGTATCTGTTGAGATTGAATTGGCTACTTCCAGCATTTTGGGTGAGTTGGGCTGCCCGTTCCTGTTCATCGGCAAGGGTTTTCAGGAGCTAGCAACACAGGGCACACAAAGCGTTAAGTGTTAAAGGAATGTGAACAATAAGACGTGAAAACTCGTTTTCCCCACATGTCAACGTAATAATAATATGTCCCCTGTTGTGAGAAACAAACCATCTACATTTAACACAATAAAACGCCTTTTTTTAGAAAAAAAATGCGTGGATATGTAACCAAATCAAAAATCAAGATATGACAAAGAACACCAATCGGAGGAATGAGTTTGTGTGGAATTTTTAAGTGTGAGTGTGTGCATCAAAGGGACAGTGAAGCCTTCATCTTAGTTGAAGTAGCACCACCCCATATTGACCTTGAGAGGCACTTTTTTGAGTCGATGAATCCAATTATGGGCTCTTATAGTGCCTCAAAAATAGAAAAAAACCCAAGACAAATGACGCACCTCAAATAGGTAGCTCCAGCCATTTTCATCATCTAGCCGTGATGTTACCCTAGAGATGTTGGCGAAGTCCACAGGAGTAGGTCTAAATCAAACAGGTAAGAAGTAAATTGCCTTGTCTGCTCAATAACTCACTAAAAATACTGCTGAGTACCTTCTAAACATCGTGGCTAATTGATCGAGTATAACTCTGAGTGATTACGACGAATATTTTTAGTCCCTTTTCCAGCAGTTTTTATTGATTTCTGTTCTCGAGATAGTGAGGGAACTTAATTTTCATTGGCCAAAAATCTGCTAGAGGCGTGAACAAGTACTTCACAAGCTTATCTTGCAGTTGTTGCAAGTTATTATAATCCCGGAAAGCAAGTAAATACATGCATGTTAGAACAAAAGCTTACTGAGGGGATGAGAACTCAATAGGTCCATTTGAGTCATGGTAGGCAATTGTAAAATCTGACCTACAATATTTAAGGAGCAAACGATGCAGGGTAGCAAATGCCTAACTGAAGAGAAGCATATAACCGCCTTCAGGTGATACAGATATGACAGCATACATAATTACATGATTTAGAAAACATAAAACACACAAGGCTGATGGCATTGTTTGGCGACCTCAAGCTGGCAGTTGTGCTATGTGCTTTAAGCAAAGTTGTCAGAAAGGAAATCAACTCGGAAGCTAGACAAATTTCAAGCTTATGTGCATAACGCAACGTTGCATTCGTCGAATCTCTGAATATCCGCGTTTTTGACCAATCATAGTGATTGTAGTGCACAGGAACAAATAAGCGGACAGCCGCAGTCACAATGAGCAGCACGAATACAAGCAATGTGACGAGGTTTGAATCAGCAACAAAAAGTCCACATGTTGCGCCGATTAGATTCAGGATTCGGCTCTTCGGCGTTGCTCAATCGTGTGTTTAGAAGACGTAGTTGGCTAGCAGATGATGTGCTGTTTCAGAGTGGCTTGTTATCATAGCTTGTGATCGCAAGGGTGTGGTAATAGGGTGTGAACGTGCAAAAATAGCTTGCTTTTGGCTCGCGTTTGTTCACATTTCACGGATTTTAAATTTAGGTGCAAGAACTCATCCGTTGAAGTAGTTTTCGCGTTTTCTAAGTAGGAGACATAAATGCACCAAAAGACTAACAAGCTTAGGCCACAAAAATAAATACAAAGGCCTTTATTAGTACAACAGGGGTTTTTAGATCTGGAAAGCTCTTTATGTGAGCAGTGTCGTCAAGGATTTTCTGTTTGAAGGTGAATCTTGATGTTCTGGAGGTCCAATGGACAGGTCTGAAGAATCAGTTAGAAAACACTCTGTAGTACAACTGGCACGTTAGTAGTCAAATCTGAACCAGGTAGGATTGTTCTATCGATTTGGATTTAAAAAAAGTCTGAGATTTTTCCCCCAGCCTCTCAGCAATCGATTGATAAAGCTGAAGCGTAACAGAACCTTAAGAAAACTAATTAATTCCCAATCGTTTTTGTAAAATCAGTAGGAATGTGGACAAATCACATTTCAAGGCTTCTGTAAAAGCATTCACAGAAAGACTATGGAAAATATTTAAAAGCAGTCACGAACACGAATGACTTGTCAATTTTTAAATTAGTGCTAAACTCAATCAAGAGCATGTAACAACCAAAGATTACGTCAAAGAAGGTCTCTTTATCAAGCGAAGCGGCATCTCAAAGAATTAAATGAAGCCACTACGTCTTTCATTGTCATTTAAACCGCATATGCTTTAACTCTTGAATAAGGCTATTTCACTGGATATTTATACCTGCCTTAGCAACATTGACTGAATTGAACTAACCGGTCTTTTGAAGCGGCTTCCAAATATTCTGAGGGACTATGGTTGCGGTTTGCACGTCTTCTTGGTTGTAGAACGAAGAACAAAACGACGACGAGAACGGCAAGAGCAAGGACAACTCCGACGATGATCAGCACGATGTTTACTGGTTTTGCTAAAACAATGAGAACGCGTTCTAAGGTTCTCTAACAAAAGACGTCGTGTACAATATAACTAGTTATTATTGTGGAAATACAACGCAGGATTTGTATGTCAACTGATTAAGTAATGCTGAAACGAAATGTGGCAAGGGATCCGATATAATCATGAAGAAGACAAGAAAAAGCGTTCTTTTTTACAAAGCAGTGACCAAATGACGACAAAACGATGACAAAATCTGCACGAAGAGATAAATTCTGAGATTGTGGATTCCAGGTCGCGCAAATCAGAGAAATTTAGCAGGGCCTGGAAAATGTGTGGTGATCCATTTGAAAAAAGAATTGAGACGTTTTTTTCTTTTTAAAATAACCATAGACTATTATAATTTCTGAATTTCAAACTATAACCGAATTTTACCAAGTATTCGTTTAAACAGACAAATTCCCGGGTGACGTGGGTCAAAACACAAAGACACACAGTGGCCTCATCATTACGGCTCAGAGTTAGGCCGCAAGCTCAAGTAAACAGGACCAAGCTTACCTCCAGATGCAGGGTGTGCTGAAATAAAAATTAAAAAGTGCATTTTTTATGAATGCGGTCAGATAAAATTGAAATTTCTCGATAAAAAAATAATTCGTATCGTTATCTGCATCCCCAGTATACCAATATACCTCATTCCTAATCGATTATTAAATGCGTTCAGGTAAATGGGTACTTAATACGAAAGATAACTAGTTTTTAACTGCTCACCATCACCAGATTAAATCCGCTCAGAACGAATTTTGACCTCAGAAACACAAAGACTGACGCAGAGTTTTTGGTCTGACTTAATAATTATCGGATCATTAGGCATTGTCATTCAACTCGCCATGAAAAAGCTCGGATGTATTCTGTTATCTACGTAGTTTGATAATTGTCGACGGCTACAAAATGTCCATACTACACAGATTACCATTATTCGTCTCT